CTGGGCTGACTCTGCTGAAGTCTTGAGTATTGACCTGAATGGTAGCAGATACAGATAACTGAAAGGATGAAGAGAAAGAAAGAAAGAGAGAAGAAAAGAGAGAGAGAAAGAGAGAGAAAAAGAAAGAGAGGAGAGAAAGAGAGAGAAAGAGAGAAGGAGAGAAAGAGAAAGAGAAAGAGAAAGAGAAAGAGAAAGAGAAAGAGAAAGAGAAAGAGAAAGAGAAAAAGGGAGGAAGGAAGGAAGAAAGGAAGGAAGGAAGGAAGAAAGGAAGGAAGGGAGAAAGAAAGGAAGGAAGGAAGGGAGGAAGGGAGAAAGACACAGTCAAAAAACTAGGGAATGTGGGAACCTGCATTCAGGTGTCTCCAATGCAGCAGAGAACAATGGGGTGGGGTGACTGAGGTGTGGAGTAGATTCCTTACTTACGTGAGATGGCGGTGGTGTTCCAGATGGGCGTAAAGTCTCTTAAAATTTGGTGAATGCACTCATGCATTTCTTTACAGTTCCTTCCTTGCAATGCACACCTCCCCATCTTGACTGCCTTGGTGAAAGGCAGCTGATGTGATTTTCATGTCGTCTCAACAAGTTGTAAGTTTTGAGCAGAGGAAGAATCCAGCCCTGAAGGTAAATATTTTGTCAAGATAGAAGCATCTACAAAAAGGCTGTTGGAAGGCAATCCTTGCTACCTAAATTTTTACTAGTCGCTATAATTGATTACTGTGCATTTGAATGCTTTTACATTCTCTTCATAGTTCCTGTGATACACCTATCAGATGTATCAATGCAGAAAGTATTATGAAATTGTTGACTTAAAGTTTCCAAGCTAAACTTAGACCAACTACCAACACCGAATTCAGTTCCACCTGTTCTAGAGCCTTAATGTCTCAAAAAAGGCTCAAATGTTCTCATCAAAACCATGTGCTGGTTCTCAACAATGAGCTGGATTAAGCTATTCAAAGTCAGACTTGCTTGTTGACAGACTTGTACCTAATAGGTCATTTAACACTATGAGTTGTGTGAAGGTCCATACATTATGGATGATAATTATGATTTTATATCATATATGACAGAAACCCCTACTAGAATTTGGAGTTTGCAGGAAGAAAGAGTAAATTTTTTTATGGTTTGGTTTGGTTTGGTTTGGTTTGGTTTTAAATGGTTGGTTTGTTGCTTTCCTTAGCAGAAAGTCTTTTGCTCATAAGAAGCTGATTAGGAGTAATGCAAGACTGAAAACAAATATCTGTGTGTAGACTGTCTCCAGTTACTTGAGTGTGTTTGAAATCCTACTGAGACATTTAAGAAGATTCCTTGGACTTTTGGTGTAAAACTCAAATCAATTTTGGGGGCAGAAATAGGAAGCGTGGAGGCATGGGAATTGCTCTGCGGTGCTGGGAAAATTATATCTTGCAACCGATTTCTGCTTTAAAAAAAGAGAACCCCAAGAGCACTAGTATCAGTAAACTGTCATACATTTGGATGTATAATGGATGAGTTAGCAGTGGAGATGGGAGATAGCTGTGGAAGAGGACTGTTCATCAACAGGTTTCCAGATCTCCGTATTGACCTTTTTTTTTAAAAGAGATTCTGGTTTGCCTGATTAATGCCAGCTGATATAAAAATACTTAGGCCCATGTGCTGCGTTTGTCCTGAGGAGTCTTCACTGTTTTGATTAAAAAATCAGATAGTAAACTACATGAGATGCATAGAAAGCATATTCTGAAAAAGGCTGTCTTGCAGGTTTGAGAATGTAAGAACAGGAAATTGAGCTCATTACTTCTGAGGGCATGCAGATGTCATATAAATTTATACTGCAAAACATCACTATTTAAGCTAGGTAGCTAAACATACATTCTTTCCTGCTAAAATCTGTAAGGGTACCAAGACCATGAGAAAAGCCTGAGTGTGAAGACAGTGGCCCTGGTAAGCAGAGAAAAATCCCACCTTTTCGGTACTGTGAGAACCAGCAGCATTAGGGCCAGGTAATGGAAGATATTTGGGGGTCAGGCATACTTTTGATGTATATTTATGTTCTTTTCATTGCTGGAGTCATCAGTAAAAGTTTGAAAACACTGGAGCTTTCTTTGCTGTAATGGGTAACTCCAAATGTTGACAGTAGGAACAGGGATTTCATGTAGAAGCAATATTACAGGATCACATTTGATGTTCTAGGTTCAAAATGAATGGGACAAATTGTTAGAAGAAGATTTTCAGAGGTACAGTCATGGGATAAATTGTTAGAAGAAGATTTTCAGAGGTATTGTCATGGGATGAAAAATTATCCTACACTTAGAGTCTCCATCAGCTCAGTCTGTAAAAGAGTTAAGAAATGAAGCTGATCTCTGTCTAGTACCTTATGTGGGGAATACATCTCAGAGAACAGGGATCACACTAAAACAAGCAAAGAAATAAAAAAAAGGTGACTCTACTCATCATCCAAGAAAATTCCGGACATTCTGAAAATTCTGCGGAAAAAAAGAAGATAAAAAAAGTTTTTCTCAGTAGCGAGTTCTCTTCTTACAAGGGTGGGGTTTGGATTTTTTTTCCTCTTCGGTTTAAGTGTTAACCAAAGGAAATGGCGTGTGCAAAATTATTTAACACACTTGCAGCTGGCACAGCCTCATTGGATGGTTTTCTGCCACTCAGATCTGCTTCACCCCCTCCAGAGGCTGGCCCTGACCCTATCCCTGTAAGAAAGCCTTAAGGAGAGCAGTGACAATGTGGTTGCTAAGCGCTTTCTTCCTGGCAGCTGTTTTTTTCTGTATGTGCCCTGCTCATCCCGCTGCCTGCACATCCACCGGTGGCAAAGGGTATGCTCTCTTATCTCAGCTTCATGCCTCTAATTTTTCTCTTTTTTTGCCACAGGTGGCTCTGCACAAGACTTGCAGCAAAGCCCCATATCCATCACAAGGTCAGAAGGCAAAACAGTGCTAATCAACTGCCACGTCTCCAGTTCCGATTTTAGCAACATTTTCATTCACTGGTACCGAAAGAGGGCCAATGCAGCTCCAGAACGTGTTGCCTACATGTCCTCCAGGATTTTCCTCGAAAACCAGTCGGATGAGGGGAAGTTTAGTATTGAGAAGGATTTCAGCAAATCTATCTGCACCCTGACAGTGAGCAAAATAACTCTACAAGACTCCGCCACCTACTACTGCGCTAGGTGGGATGCACAGCAGCAGAAAGCCATAGGGGACCTGCACAAAGACTGCTCTGCTTTCGAAATCAGATCCTGCAGTGTTTGACAGCATGCAGGAACATCACCACCCTGCAGATATGGGTGATACTTATCAGTAGTCACTCCCATCTTAATGCTTATGATATAATGACTCCTTCTTATAGGCAAGGATCTGTTACACTGGGCAACACCTGAAAAGACTGTTCCAAGAAAGGATAGCGAAGACCTTTTACAATGGAAAATGGCAAACTGAAGCAGGGATATGGAAATGGTAACACAGCACTGCTCAGCCAGACAGCTGTGAGGAGAGCCAAAGTGAAATTTCACTTATGTGGTATTCACAACCCCATGTCCATGCAAGTGGTTCTTTTTTTTGTTCTTTCATTAGAGATATGTCTGCACTACAAGACCTGACACAAATTCATGTATTTATCACAAGGACAACAGAACAATATGAACTTTCTGTACTAGCTGTGAGATGAGATTTATTTGTGAACACTGCTATTGACAAAGGCCTAAAAATGATCCAGGGGATTCTCTCTTTTGGGTCAGAAAATATGACATTTTTCTCATGGAAGAGTATGATGTGTGGTGGCTGCTATCCAAGGGACCATCTGCTGTAAAGTCTTTGCAAGGCATTTTGTCAGCGCTCTGAAATGAGGGAAAGCACAAGAAAAAGCAGGGGGCAGCAAATAGCTGGCTGGTGGAAATGCATGCTTCACCCTGACTTTGCCACAGCCACTGGGACTCTCTTGCAATAGAGCCACCAGCTATATTTTTCCTATTTGGTGCTACAGTCCTGTTATCAAGGAAGGCAGGCACTTACATCCAGTACATGCCCAACCACCTCGCTGTTGTCAGGTCACTTACTGCCAGAGGAACTCCTTATTTCATGCAATAACCTGAGAGAGTTAAAGGAACACAGGGATCTTCAAAAGAAATGGATCATGGCTAGTCAGTGCAGTTGGATATTTATATGGCATTTTATGTATTGGTAACCCTCAACGCACAGTGAAATTACCAGCTGCATGTTCTTTTTAAGAGCCATATAGACAGATAGATAGATAGATAGACAGATATCATTAAATATCATTACATATCAGCAACTCCTCCCCCCTTTGTGCTGTCAGTGAACTTGCTGAGGAGGCCTCTGTCCCTTCATACAAGACAGTGATGAACAAGTTTAAACAATACTGGGCCCAGTACTTTACCCTGGGGGACACCACTAGCGACAGGCTATAAAATGCTCCAGGGAGACTTTATTGCAGCCTCGCAGTACTTAAAGGGGGCTTATGAAAATATGGAGGGTGACTCTTTACACTGGCTGGTAGATGGTGATAGGACAAGGAAGAATAGTTTTTAACTAAAAGAGGGGAGCTTTAGATTAGATACTAGGAAGAAGTTCTTTAATGAAAGGGTGGTGAGGCTGTGGATGCCAAATCCCTTGGAAGAATTCAAGGCCAGGTTGGATGGGGTCCTGTGCAACCTGATCCAGCTAGGTGATGTCCCTGCCCATGGGGTCGAGGTGGGAACTACATGATCTGTAAGTTCTACACAAAACATTCTATTATTATATGATTTCATAATATTCTAGGAAAGACTTATGGAACATGCTTCTGGGAAGTTTTGAGGTGTCTGAGGAGAGGACAACATCCCAGGAATGGACCAGATTGAACAACTTGAGGTTTTATGTGTGTGCTCAGTACGTAAGTCTAATATGAGTTGTAGTAGGTAGATAGATGAAGAAATTTTTTTCAGATTGAGTATTTTATGTCCTTTCTCTACTGTTACTGCTGTGGTTTAGCTGGTCCGTAAATTTAACACCCTCGGTGGTAGTGAGTTGAAGAACAACCATTGGATGTGCTGAATGAATCATTTCCTCCTCCCAGTCATTTGATGCTCTCTCCACCTGAAAGGCTCTGTAACATTCTGTCTCTATTTTATTTCCAGGTTTAATCTGCACAGGCAGCATGTTGCTGCTTCCAGTCCTTCTTGCAACTTTATTTTGGTCCCGTAAGCTCTTTTTTCCTTTCCCCTCTTCTTCCTGTGTACAGTGAATACAGTCCTGATTCCAAACTCCAGGAGCTTATCTCTCACATAATTTCTCTGCTTCCACTTCCAGGTGGAGACATGCAGTCAGCGCCAGTGCAAACCCCAGAGATGCACCATCAGATGAAGGGCAGATCTGCCAGCATGTCATGCCGACTGATGAACGAAGACATTGTGCACTGGTACAAGCAGCTTCCTGGAGAGCCACCAAAGAGGATACTGTACCTGTCAGGACATACATCTGTTTTTGATGACGGCAATGATAGAAATAGATTTGAAGTTCGAAAGGATGCTACTCAGCCCTTATATGGTCTCACAATAAAATCTTTAACCCCAAGGGATTCTGGCACTTACTACTGTGCATATTGGCACTACACCACAGCATTAGTTGATCAAAGATAAGCCATACAAAAAGATACTTCGTGCTTTGAACCACAAGCTCTGAACTCTGCAGCAGGAGAGGAAAAACAGCATCTTATGAAAACTATTAAATATATAATGTTAACAATCACTATGTCACTTCAGTACTCACATGTATCTGCAACATCCAGAAACTGGAGTCTTCCCGTCTCTTAAAGGTAGATATATGAAACACTGCTCTTAAAATGAAGGCTTAATTTTACTGAAAGCACTCACCTGACAGTGAACACAGCCAGTCTCTGTGTGGGAGCTATAAATCTCTTCTCTGTCAAAATGCTAGCAAGCAGAGCAATGTCTCCATCCCCTCAGTGCTTTCTTTTGAAAAAAAAGACAGGAATATGAAAGAGGGAGAGAAGACCAGATGATCTTGCGCATCCTTCTTCATATTTTTCTTTTGTCTTCCTTTGCATTTCAGTCACTACAAATTTCTACAATAGCCCAGAAGACCTATTTTTATTGTCACAATTCCTCACCTGATGTGTCCAAGATATAACTGAAATCCTCAGCCATGAGCTATGCCCCAGGCAAGCAGAGCCTCTCAGAGCCTTTGGGTTAAGTGTACTGAGTTTTACAAATCAAATTCTACAATCACAGATTGGTTCTAGGAAAGATGACATTTTCCTGACAGCTGGTCAGAACACTGATATACTTTTATGTCTTCAAGTTTCTGAACTAAGTTGGAGTGCACATGTTCAATATCCTTTGAGATATTCCTCTAATGCATCTGGACCTTAAAAATGGAGCCCAAATATCTCCATGGTGGTGGGTTTACAGCTCCACAGGCTCAACTGAACACTGTTTTTGCTCAACTTTCTGTGTGATTTGAGTCTATAATGTCTTGCTATAGATGTTTATGTCCTCCTCAACTATTTGAAACACAGGTTGGACTGCATGTGACCTCAGATATTAACTCAGATATTAACTCAGATATTAACTTTTGTCTTTGTATCCTTTGGATCTGAGGATTTCTCACAACCAAAGAGGTTTCTGGACGGAGTTGAGAGCAACTTCCTGACACAGGTGATTGAGCAGCCAACAAGGAAAAGTGCTTTGCTGGACCTCCAACTCACAGACAGTGGAGAACTCGTTGAGGATGGAAAGGTCAGGGCCAGCCTTGGCTGCAGTGACCATGAGCCACTGGAGCTCAGACTCCTGAGAGAAGACAGCAGAGCAAAAGGCAGGACCTTAACCCTGGACTTCAGGGGAGCAGACTTTAAAGTTCTTCAGAGACCTGCTTGGAAGAATCCCTTTGGATACAACCCTGGAGAGAAGAGGTGTCCAAGAGAGCTGGTTGGTATTCAAGAGTCTCCTCCAAGCTCAAGAAGGGTCCATCCTGAGAATTAGAAAATCAAGTAGAGGCAGTAGGACTCCCTCATGGATGAGCAAAAAGCTACTGACTGAATTTAGGCATAAAAATGAAGTGTGCAAGAGGTAGAAACATAGGCTGGTGATCCAGGGCCTGCTGTTCAACTATGCAGGGATTTCAGGAAAGAAATAGCCCAGCTTGAATTGAATTTGGCAAATGATGTAAAAGGGAACAAGAAAGGATTATACAAATACAACAGCAGCAAAAGAAGGACGAGGGAAAGCTGCTAAGTAGGGCAGGGAAACTGGTGATAAATGACATGGGAAAGCCTGGGGTACTCAGTATTTCGTTTGCCTCAGTATGCACACTTAAGAATGGCCTCCAGGAATCCCAGGCCCCTGAGATCAGACGTAAAGTCTGGAGCAAGAAAGACATACCCTTTGGTGGAGGAGGATGAGGTTACTGAGCACTTAAACTGAACACACATAAGTTTTTGGCGCCTGATGGGATGCACCCACAAGTGCTGAGCAAGCTGGCCAATGACTCTGCAAAGACTCTCACTTGTCTTTGAAAGCTCACAACAACCAATACAGGTTCTTGAAGACCAGAAGAAAGCAAATGTCACTCCTATTTTCAAGAAAGATAAAAAGGAAGACCTGGGTAACTACAGGCAGGCTAGCCCTATCTCAGTCCCTGGGAAGATGATGGAACAACTAATTCTGGAAACCATTTACAAACACAGGAAGATAAAGACAGACAGGATTAGTTCATTGATCAGGATTAGTAGCATTGATTTACAAAGGGGAAGCTATTTAGATAGCTTTAGATCCTGAAGCACTCTACAAAGGCTTGGATTTTGGCCGTTTCATCTCTGACAAGTCTATTTAGTGATAATTTGAACCTGGAAAGTTATTTTGTAGAACACTATTCTAGCCACTGCATGTGTCCTCTTGGCATAGACACCATTATGTTTGGTCTGTAATTATTCCTACTGGGAGACTTACTGTGTTAGAAAGCTACAGTACAAAACCTAGATAGTCTGTAAATTGGGCATTTAATCACTGACGCAATCACTGTCATATTTCTTTACTCTTCATCTGGGATCAGGTACCTGGGATAATTCTGCTGTGTGATCAGAAGAATATCAATGTACTGCTACTGTTTCATGCATGGCAGTTTTTTGCAACACGGGCTTGATTTCAGGTCCTCAACATACAATTGACAGTGCAGTTTTCTCTCTGATTAACTGCAGTTGCCCACGCAGGAGACTGTCATGGGATGCTGCTGAGATGAATGATCTTTTCCTTGACCCTCCTCCCCACTTCACCTTAAAATCTGTTTATCAGTTCTCTCTTCCTTGTCACTTTGTTGTGTTCTGCCAGTCTTTAAGTAATTTCTCCTTCACCTACCTCAGGGTGGCCAGACACAAAATTAAACAGGCTTTCCTATTGGGAATAAGGGGACCCTTTCCATTGCCTCCACACAGAGACAGGTGTCTCTCTTAGCCTGACTCTTCCTGGAACCCTGCATTCACAGGCACCTTTCCAAAGCACTTAGCAATGTGTGCTTACCACCAGCTCACTGCATGTAGCCAGCTACCAGCAGAAGGGAGGTTGAACAAATTCATTTCCTTCGTGCCTGGTGAGTTGCAGCCCAGGCCCACCAATCACAGGGGAGTCCCTCACAGCACCAGACCATCTCATTAAGAAGTCTCTCTGCCACGGCTGTTGACAGCAGCTTCTCTCTTTTGTTTTCCAGTCTTTTCTCCAGTGAGTGTTTGCATCTCAGCTGAGCTTAGAAACTGAAATCCTGCAGCTGTGCATTTCCTCCCACAACCTAAGCCAAAGTGGAGGCAAGTCCCTGCCATGCAGTTGCCCTGGTTGCTGCAGGCTGATGGCCTCAGCTGCCTTGGTGGAGGGCACCAGCTGCACAGGGGCACTCCAGGCACTTTTGTACTCTGCAGCTGCGTGACTAAGGTGAAGCAGCAAAGGGTGGTTCCTAACAGGATGGGGGAATGCCTCCCACCCACTCAGACATTGTGCACCTCTCTGCACCCCTCAGGTGATGGTACGCACACACTGCCCACCAGAGTGACCTGCAGGCTGATACCTTCACTCCACAATGCATAGCTGCTCTCACTTGCAACCTTTTCTCGGTTGCTCTGACTCGAGTTTTATAGGGCCACCATCCTTGGATTTACCAATGTTTTTCATATTTACTTGGAAAGCAGACAGGACTACAGGCTTTTAACCAATTTTAGCATGTGGCAGCCTGGAGAGGGTTTTCTGAAAAGGCGTCCCATCCTCTTGCACACAGAAAATCCATTGCTGAAGATCGTTCAAAAGAGTCACCTCCTCCTTCCACACAACACAGTCCCTCCCCAGCTGGCATCCCTTTCACTCTCTTCTGAGTCTCAACAAGAGCAGAGTGTGGCAAGCAAACATGCTGCTGCTGGCAGTGCTTGTTGCCACAGCCACTTGGTCTTGTAAGTACTTCCTTCTTATTCTACCTTTCCTCACAGGCACTCATGGCTATGCTAACAGGCATCTTTCACTGAATTCCAGCTAATTACATTATTTCTCCTTTTTCCTAGGTGGATTTGCACAGGAAATTCCCATGCAGAGTCCTATATCCATCACCAAGTTCCAAAAAAGTGCACGAATGACATGTGAAATTCAAACATTAGGGGCAAATTTTGATGGTGCCGTCATACACTGGTATCTGCAGAAGGAGGGTGAAGCTCCAAAGAGGCTCTTGTTCCTTTCAGGAGGAAAAGCTACCGTTGAAACTGGCTTTCAAGCAAGCAGATACATGGTTGAAAGAATTTCTGGTCAGCGACGGTGTGTTCTTACAATAAAAGATGTAATTCCAACTGATGCTGCTACTTACTACTGTGCCTACTGGGATCCTCACTGTGATAGAAACTCAAAGATCATCAAGGCAAAAAAACACCTGCAACGTCTGAACCACAAGGTTGTAACTGTGCCATTCCACCAGTCTTCTCACTCCATCTGATGTGAGCTGCTGAAAGGCCAAACCCTTTCCTGCTTCCCAAAGAGAGCAGCTAACCCTGCACAACTGTTCTTTTCAAAGTCTGGGTCATCATTAGGACTCCTGTCTTCAACACACATCCACTATTTTAAGGACAAAGGAAATCATCACTGCCTTAGGACTTAGCACGTAAATGCTGGACACTCCCAGCTCCTTTGGTGCTGTTTGCACACCATGGCAGAAGTCTGGTGGCCTTTAGGGAAGCAAACAGAGAAACATTGATTTTCTAGTCCAGCCACTGTTCTCCCCTAGGAAAGAGAAGGCAGCAAAAGCAAGACAACATACTGAAGGAAGTACTACCTTGGCGGATGGAAATTGTATACTTGGCACTGCCTATCACATCTGAGTAAATAGTTCCCCCTTTTATTCTTCCCTGTTGTACATGTAAGCAACTGTTAGCCCCTGGAAAAACTGTAAGCCCTGTTTGCCTAATTCAGATACCACAAAATCCCACACAGACCAATTTAAATTAGAGATTTACAGTCTCTTATCCGCCACAGCTAATGATGTGCTACGTATAACCATTGCCTTCTTTCATTTCGTGTTAAGACAAATAGAATAAACATCATTTTATTTGAAGAAGGATATTTGCTGAAACTGTCAAGTATGATGGACTCACTTCAAATTTGCATGAAGTTAGTATATGGCCCTGAGCACAGCAAGCATTTCACAGAAAAGCATAAGAGGAATAGTTTTTGCTTGTGACTATAGCCAAGTGTGTGCCTACTCTTCAGCTTTTCTTTTCCTGATGAGGGGCGTAATTGGATACTTGAAATGCCTGGGCATCACACAGTATGAGCAATGGGACTTCAGAACTATCAAGCTAGGTGTGAATAAACACTGCACACCAGTATCCTCATGTCTTGAATGTCTTAAATGCAAAGTTTAAGCAGACAAGTGCTCAGTGATTTCATATAATCACATAATCATATACTAATAAAATGGCTTGGGTAGAAAGGGAACTTAAAGGTTGTCCAGTTTCCACCCCCCCACACCATAGACAGGGCATCTTCCATTTGATCAGGTTGCTCAGGATGATATCTCTAGGAGCAGCTGGATGGACAACACCAGCCACCTGGATGATAAAAGAAGAAGGAAATACTAAAGCAAAAATATTGTGGTCCTGAGTGAGCCAGAGCTAAGATTAGTGTGTATGTGAAAAGAATCACAAGGTCAAGCTGGAAAGCCACTTGAAGCATGATTGTTCTCTGTGGCTGGAAGCAGTCACAAGGGGGTGTGTGGTATGTGGGGAGATAAGGAAACATCTTGCCGGCTGGAGAGTTCAGACCGGGGCTTGGTAGAGAGTCTGTATATAGAGTCTGTTTAGAGCAAGCAGCTGTCACAAGTATTGAGGCCATGTTGCTGAGAACACAGCTGCGCTGGGCAGGGCACGTCTCCAGGATGAAGGACCACCGCCTCCCTAAGATCCTGCTTTATGGTGAACTTGCCACTGGCTGCCGCATGAGAGGAGCCCCGAAGAAAAGATACAAGGACTCCCTGAAACAACATCTCAGCCTTGGCCATATTGATCAACATAACTGGTCTACTCTGGCCTCCAATCAGGAGGCCTGGAGACACGCCATCTATAACGCAGCTGTCTCCTTCGAGAACACACGCAGGATCACTCTCGAGGAGAAAAGGCAACGCAGAAAGAACCGTGTATTGCAGAATACACCATCTAAGGAGTCTTTCTGTTGTGCCTTTTGCAATCGGATATGTCTGTCACGTATTGGCCTCATAAGCCACCAGCGTGCCTGTATCAAATGTGGATAGAGCCTTCCCAAATCTTCGTTCGCGAAGCCTAGCCATGATGATGATGATGAATAAAGTAACAAGAGAGTTCTTCCTGGACAAAGTCTGTCTCCCATGGATTCATTTGCCGCAAACAGTGCAGAGTGAGGGACCTTTTTTTCTACAGATATCCAGTCTGGACTTAAACACTTCCAGGGAAGAGATATCCTTGGCTGTCTATTCCAGTGCCTCACATCTTGCACAGTAACAAATTTCTTCCTAACATCTAATCTAAAACTCCTCTCAAGTTCAAAACAGTTCCCCCTTGTCCTATCACTATCTGCCTGTGTAAAAAGCCACTCTTCCTCTTTTTTGTAACCCCCCCTTCAAGTACTGGAAGGCTGCAATGAGGTCTCCCCTGAGCCTTCTCCGGGCTGAACAATGCCATCTGCCTCAGCCTGTTTTCATAGAAGAGATGCTCCAGCCCTCTGAGCATGTTTGCAGTCTCTGGACCTACTGCAGCAGGTCCATGTCTTTCTTGTGCTGAGGAGTCTAGACCTGGTCACAGCATTGCAGTTGAGGTCTCACAAGGGCTGAGTAGAGGGGGAGAATCACCTCCCTTGACTTGCTGGCCACTCCTCTTTAGATACAGCACAGGATGCAGTTTTCATAGCACAGGATATGGTTGGCCTTCTGGGCTGCAAGTGCACATTGTTGGGTTATATCCAGCCATTGGTCCATCAGAAACCTCAAGTCTTTCTCTGCAGGTCTACTCTCAAAGCGTTTTTCTCTCTGTCTGGACTCATGTCTGGGATTGCCCTGACCCAGATAAGCACCTTGCACTTGGAGTTGTTAAACCTCATACTGTTCTCCTGGGCTCATTTCTCAAGTCTGTCCACATCCCTATGGATGGCATATTTCACTGTATCCTGTTGTTATCATTAGGGCTAGTCAATGGTGTGATGCACAGCTCTCAGCCAGGAATTGGTAATGCCACATCCTGTCTCTGTTCATAGAATCTCATGGCAGCTTTCCAAAGTTTTCTCTTAGTTCAGTGAATACTTTTTTGCTGTTGTTTTCTGCCTTCTGTATGCAGTGGCTTGCACCATCCAGCACTACTGCACTTGCAGTGGTGCAGGCAACATTGCCATTTTTTTCAAGAAACCTTCCCTTGTGGTCCTGTCATGGTCTCAGAAAGCTTTCTGAAGCAGATCTCATCCTCATCAGAACATGTGTCATCACTATACCCATTATATGATAGTGAAAGTGATGTGGACCATTAAGAGTCCCATTTCCAGCGGTTTCCCTTCCCTTCCTTTCCCTTCCCTTCCCTCTGGCTTGATGCACAGGGTCACTAGCTGACAACCGAGTCCACTCTTCTTCTCATGTGGCACTGCTCACTCTCCTCCAGGGCTGGCTTCCTTCTCTTTCTCAACAACAGCAAAGCATGGCATGCTTGTAGCCGTAGCTGCTTGGTCTTGGAAGTCATTCCTTATTTTCCTTCCTTTCCTCAAAGGCACCTGTTGCAACCCGCCCCAGAAAGGGGAGGACAACCCAGGTTCTTATTAATAAATCTCTTGGGGTGGATTAGAGTGAAATAGCATTGAATAATCAGTGTTTGTAGGGTTTATTTTGGAAAAATTTTGTTGCATAGGTAAACAAGTATGTTGCTGTTCTGGGTATTATCATCTATAGCAATATAGCAACATTAGAGCATAGCAATATAGCACTATTAAAGCATAGCAATATTAAAGCATCTATAGCATCATAACAGTATTAAAACATAGCAATATGGCCTTATTAAAACATAAAGATAACACTTAAGGAAATGCATAAGGGAGAGAAAGGGAAAGAAAGGATAAGGGTGGAAAGATATGTATAGTCACTGTCCACTGGATCCAGCGATGAAAGTTGGTAGTTGCACCTTCAATGTCTGTTGATTGAAGTGATGATCTTGCTCTGTTGGGGCTGAGGGAAGCCCCCAACAAAACTCAAAGATGTTATGAGTTATTACACACTTCTAGCTCAGGTGGGAACCCCTTGTGGCGTCCCCGAGGTGGGAAGTTTTTCAGTGGATAGTGTCATGGGACATGTCGCTGAGTCTTCAGCATCTCCTAAGACAACTGCAGCTACAGCATCAATCATGGTCCATCATGGTCTGACATTTGAGATGCATAGCCCAGGCTAGATGCGCAGAGTTATCTGTGAAGGAACAAGATTCAGGATGGGAGAGGTTCCAGGCATGGAGAAAAACATACAGCAATTGACAGGACTTTATGGCACAGACTTTATAGTTCTTATGTGTTTATAAATATACACATTGTATGTTTTCCCAAGATTTGTATCTCCCAGGCATGTCCAGGCATGCCCGCTTCCCTGCTTCCCCGCTCTCCTCTCTGACAGGCTGAAGAAGCTGCAGAGAGGAGACAGTTACCATTTGCCCTTTCCTTCCCCGATTCCTCCCATGTTCCTCCCCCTTTGCCTGTGTCCCTAACCCGATTTGTTCCCCTGTCTGTCTGTCTCATGCTCCACCCCATATTCTAGCCCTTTCCCCACCTGAAACTCATAAAACCCCTACACCCCTCAATAAAGTATTCCATTTGCACCTCTACCTTGTCTCCGGCCCCATCCGTGCTGTGTCACGGCCCCATCCCCCCTTGGACCGTGGCAGTTATGTAAAGGGAGGACACTGGCATGATAAGAGGGATTTCTCACACCTTGCAGGATTTGCCTCTTAGCCTCTTTCCTTACCTGGAAATCCACTTTGTAGTGTCAGGTGTGCATCTGCACCCAGGAGAGTTGGACAGTGGCACCCATTTGTCTGATCTGAAGGTCCTTTGGCAGTATTCAGGGAGGGGTGGGCTTTGTTTCTTCTTGTCAGTTTGTGAAATTCTTTTGTGATCTTAGAGTGTGTAAGTCATTAACTGTTACAGTCTCTGACAGCACCTATGACTGTGCTAACAGGCATCTTCCCAAATCCCTGAATTCTGGTTAATGAACGAACTTTTCCTCTTTTTTTTCTAGGTGGCTTTGTGCAAGAAATTCCCATGGAGAGCTCTCTGTCTGTCACCAAGTCTAAACGAAGTGTACACCTGGAATTGTCCTTTTAAAGGTGACTCTGAAGATTTTGGTCACACCACCATGACAGTGTTTGTATCAAAAGAAGGCAAAAAAAGCTTCAGATAGGATTTTCTGCTTCTCAGGTGTAAAAGTAGTAAATGATGGCTTCCAAGCATACAGGTACATGACTGAAAACAATTCTAGCCAGAAACTGTATTCTAACAATATACAATGTCGTTCCAGATGACATTGCTACTGACTATTGCCCCCACTGTTACAGTCACTGTAGTAGAAATTCAGACATCGGAGGCTCCCTCAGCGTCTCAACAACAAATAACTTGAAAGATCCCGGTGTGCTTCCTTTGGTGTGGATGAGCCATCTGGTGCAGATGCAGGCTGTGGAATAACAGGATATAGTCAGTGCTGACTGATCCCTTGGAAGCATCAACTGTCAAAAGCTCAAGATTTTGACTTAGCAAGGGCAAATGGAACAGTAAAGATTCAACACTTAATCTATCCTCTCCATTCCAGATTCTTCTCCTTATCACTCAGTCATATCAGTGATCTGGTTGTAAGGGTTTATTTAATGGAAAAGGGCATTTTTCCATATTGTTGTTCCTGAAAATAGGCTAGCATGTTGTACTGTGGCTCTTCAAAGAATTTGACCTGACAAAGAAAATTGAAATAGAGAGCTTTAGCCTGAAGGTTCTTAAAAATTTTAAGCAAAGGAAAAGGAGAGTTCTTTTAATTTGCGAGTCAGCAGCTGTCAGAGGAGGAAGATTTTCTATTTATTGACTGAGATCTGGAGGTGGGCATTTTTGTTCTCTTTTTTGGGAGCTGTATCATTCCCTTTCCCCATGTTCTTGCTTATCACTGTATGTGTTTCACTGGTGTTGGATCTGAATCATCCAAAATATTGGAGATAGAGTTAGCAAAGTTAGGAGAAAAAAAAACCAAACAAGGCTTTCCATAGTTAAAACTAACTTTTCCTACTTGTGTTTCATATGCAATGCATCCATCCTAGTTACTGCCTCAAGGTGCATGCTGACCCTAATGCCTGAGAATTAATCCATAGAGCTTTTTCTCTACCATTAAGCCTCTCCCTAATATTCTCCTTTTGCTGTGAGACCCTGAAAGTCTCCTCTCGTGGTTCATTGAAGTGTAACTCTTTAAAGAATATTAGTCTGATGGGATGAAAAAGTGACATAATTTCAAATGTGTATTAGGTCTCCAAATGACTGTAAATCAGTTTTATCCTGCTCATACTTGCAAGCCCAGATCATACAGGGGAGTCGACAAGCTATCTTCAGTATGAAGTGTTTCACTTCAAATGAGACCTTCCAGCTACTCACTGTCATCAACATAAATCCAATAGCACCTGCAACTGCAGGTGATATGGTGGTGGTCTCCTTCACTGTGTGTCTAAGGACGAGGCAGGAAAAGCACTGGTTGGCACTATTCTCTGTCTATGTCATTCCTGCCCTTGTTTTGTATTGTGATCTGGATGTTCCCGTCCAGAAGACTTCAGTGTAGATCACTGCTTTTTTTTACACCTACTTCAGCTGAAAGACCTTCACCCTCTAGTTCCTCCCTCTAACCTGAAATAGTATTTTCTCAACATAGCTTTGCGGTCAGTATTCTACAAGAGATCTCAGAAATACTCTAACTCAGTTTATTTTATTTGTCAAACTAAGCATGCAGGCTGTTTGATTGGCAGAAGTGGTAACTCCTCTGATGTTATCTTGGACTGTTGTATAAGAAACCTCTGCATAAAAGCGTCCTTCTCCCACCAGCTAGTATATGAAAAGCTGCCAGTGAGTTGCTGTAGCAGAGTCTGGAGTGATTCCCAGAGACGGGCAGACAATAACCACGTCCTGAGGGCAGAAAACACAACCTGCAGCGTACAGACACCTTCACAATGCTTTTGATGCTCTCTCTCCCTCCTTTCCCTCTGCTGAACTGTATTCAGACAATGAAAAATGAACTCCATGCTAGTAGTACTTGGTGTCACTTAATTGCAAGTGAGAAGGGGTGTAACGCTTTGGGAAAGAGCTGGATTTTCACCTGAAGGTATGTGGGTTTTTACATGTAGAACTCTGTGTACCTATTTGTGTGTCTAAAATCGAAGAAGAACCTTCATCTAATTCTAAGGCATTAAGAGGAGGGGTTATCTTACAAATTTGCAACACTTCAGGGAAGAGATTTGCTCTGAAGGGCATTGGTACCAGCTGAACATCCAGATACAAGTCTGAAATTCCTGACAGCAGCCGAGGGCCGGGCCTTCATGCAGACTCCCAGGGATGATGGGGAAAAAATGGGATTTTCTTCATCAATGGTATATCAAGAGAGCATGCTAGCTTATTGCAAAGTCAAAACATGGCGTGGAGCACCTGGATCAAATACTTCGGCATGGGAACAAAGCTTATTGTCTCTAGTAAGTACCATTATCATTGAACTGATTTTTGCAGAATCATTCAGATTCTCAGAAAATTAAGAATGAAAGACTGTAGGAAAATTAATTTCTCCCTGATAAATTGTGGGGTTTTGTTAACTGTGCATTGTGCCCCATTTGGGTGGGTTGATGATACATAAATATATCAAACTCGTTAATATAGATTACCTTTAGAACAAGTGCTGAATATTTATAAAGGATGGGGGAATGGAAAAATGAGGAGGGGTAAAAATTTAAATATTTCAATGGATTAATTTCTGTTTTGGTAATCTTCTTGACAGTATACTCTCAGAACAGCAAGTGAGAAATGCAAAGAGTTTTTGATTGATAGAAGTCGTCCAGTCTAAACCGATTGGGAAGAAAAAATCCCTGAATGTAATAAATTACTAGTTCCTGGCCCTACTGAAAGCAACTTTGTTACTTGTGCATTTGTATTATTCTTAATTGTTGTGAAGCTATGCAACCAATAGGATGAATGCTGGTTTCAGCATAAAGTATATAACAATGCCTAGAAAATACATGGTGTTATCAAGGTGACTATAATTAAGTCAAATTGCAAACGGCTGAGGAGAGTTACAGGGAAATTTAAAATGTTATCTATCCATGACTTTGAGCAAAATTTTTCTGAACTTCTTACTCATTACAAAACTTGAAGTATTTCTAAAAATGGTACTCTCGTAAATGTTGAAAATTCAGCTATTGCACTGGGTCAGAGAGAATTTTTCTGTAACCTACGCAAGAAAAGTGCAGTAGAGGAGATATTGCTAAGCATTATCAGAGTGGGGGATCCTGATGTCAAAATATTTGGAAGTGGAACTGAGCTTACTGTTTCAAGTAAGTACAAAATATAAAACTTAACTACTTCTGAAATGCTTTTCAATACAATTAGATATTGGCTGGCATGAAGTGCTCTGCTATTTTAATTCCCTCTAGTTTTAATCCTTCTGAATTCTTTGCAGGATTTCCCCCTTAAATAGCATTCCATTTGCAGAACACAATGTAATTGTTTTGTATTTCTGTATTGAAATGGGGGAAGTACAACGGCTATTGCAGCGTAGATGTATACTAACCCCAGTATTATTTTCTTTGCAAAGATGAATTTTAATATAGCAAAGAAAGCATTTGGAGAACAGAAAGATGTTTTTGTCTCTAGGTATGCACATTCAACCTTTGTGATATTCCTAATTCATTCTGAAAGAAATGTATCCAACCTTTGTGCTACTCGTATTCTTTGAAAAGCAAAACGTTTTCTTTTAGGACTGTATCTGACTATACCAAATGAAAGTGTTATCTGAGGCATGTCCAAAACAGTTTTAAAGTAGGCATAGTTGACAGGCTGCTCTCTCTTCCTAGCTTTTGCAGAAACTAGTAGTTATTACTGCTATTAAAGAAGAATGCCAAATTCAAAATATTCTGGTATAATTATCAGAACTGTTTTGCTTCAAGTAAACTTCAGGTGCTCTGATACTTACCTGGGATTTGGCTCAGCTAAGCATCTGAGATGAAAAGAGTTTGCCTAATTTTGACCCACTGGTATATCTGGTTAGTGGGAGTTTTGGTTCCATCAATGCAGGGTCTTGCTTCATGTTATGGACAACAAAAATATTGGCTGGTGGTCTCATGCTATGCAGATCTCTGCATAATGTTCACCATTTCTAGGTCTGATTTTATGGGGGGTGTATAAGGAGCAAATTACTTCGCCAATATCTGATCAAATAGATCTTCTGATGATGATACCCCTTTCCAGAAAACAGATGGAGCCAAGGCGCTCAATCTGCATCATCCACCTATACTTTGGGAAAACTCAAATTAGTTGAGATGAATCCTGTCCATTTAACAACATACCTGCCCTCAAAAAACTACACACCTTTTTTTTTTTTTTTACTTTACTTTAGGTGAATGCTCCTTTTTTTACTTCACTAGGGTCTAAAAATTGATTATATAGCAAATCTGATTTTCTTTAAAGAATACTATTTACCCATGTAAACACAACAGAGCTGCACTGATATTGTAAAGACTTTATTCACTGTGATTGGTTATTACAACAAGGTGTTTGGCTCAGGTACAAAACTCGTTGTGTCAGGTAAGTTGCATGTTATATTCATACAATTCATACAATAAGCTATAGGAACCTGGAGTGGTCATATAGATGTATTATACTGTCTCAGAGTTGGCACCATCCTTGCACAGGATTCTCCTCCCCAGCTCACCATTCCTACTTTGAGCCTTGTGGTATTTGCAATGCAGTCATTTAGGATCACAAACATATCTGAAAAAGAGATATTTTGAGCCAGTTTTGATCATAGTTCTCCTAGAATCTGGTGGAAAAAGGCTTGTAATAGTTTCCAGAGCCCTTGTTCTTTCCTCCAGCTGTGCTGAAGGAATTAGCAAGGAATCAAGCAGCTGTGAATTAAGCATTAAAAAAGAAAACCTCTTCTTAATACAGATACAAAGAGCAGTATGCAACGGTCATTGCAAAAATTTTTTTTTAGTTAGGCTAGCAAAAGTGAAATAACTTGTCCGTAATTATTTTTCACATATGCTGCACTTTGGCAATAGAAATATATTAGTGCCTCCAAATGCTCTTCTCATTGCTTAATAACTACTTGATAGCAAAGTAATTAAGTTAATAATAAATTAATTAATTATTCAGCATTAATTATGCTGAATTACTGCTTAATCATTGCTTAATGAAGAAATGATCTTTTTTTACCTTTCCTGCAGAGACATTTATTTTAATGGAAGGTGGAAGACAAAAATATTTTTCACACTAGATGTGCTTTAAATGCCATAATCCTGAAGTAAACAACAACACAGAAACAGAGCAGAGGAACTACTGCTACCAAATGTTTTAAGCCTGGCTAAATACATAAACGTATGTTAGTATATGAAGCAAAGATTGGTTCTAATGATTTATACCAGAAAGACTAACTGAATCATACCTATAGTTCAATGGAAATATCTGTGGCATGTTGGTTTTAGTGGAAATCCTTGCCTTATTAATCAAGTAATTGCCATGCTTTTTGTATCTACAGTTTAATATATTTTCAAGCATCACTCTAATTCTGTAGGATTTTGTCTCTATGCGGACAAGGATTCTGAATCATTAATAGAGTAAGAGGGTTGTAGTTACTTCACACTTAAGATCGTTAAGGAATTGAGAAAACCAGGACTTAGGATAAGGCTCTTTGGGAATAGCATCATTAGCTGAGACTGAATCCAAATATTCTGCATTCATGTAGCCAAATAGACTCCTACTGTTTGTATGATGGTTCTTAAAAATGGTACTTTTCCAGCCAAAATCACAGAATCATAGAATGACGTGGGAGGGAAGGGACCTTAAAGATCACCTAGTTCAAACCCTGAGCCGTGGGCAGGAAAACCTTTCACTAGACCAGGTTGCTCAGAACTCTGTCCAACCTGGCCTTAAACGCTTCCAGAGATGGGGCATCTACAGCTTCTCTGGGCAACCTGTTCCAGTATCTCACTATTCTCACAGTAAAGAATTTTTTTCTACTATCTAATCTATACCTACTCTCTTTTAGTTTGGATCCATTCCCTCTTGTCCTGTCACTACATGCTGTAGTAAAAGTCCCTCTCCATCTTTCTTGTGGAATCCCTTCAGGCACTGGAAGGCTGCTATTAGATCACCCTGAAGCCTTCTCTTCTCCAGCCTAAACAATCTAAGTTCTCTCAGCCTTTCCTCATAGGAGAGGTGCTCCATCCCTGTAATTGTCTTGGTGGCCCTCCTTTGAACTCGCTCCTACTGGTCCATGTCTTTCCAGTGCTGAGGACCCCAGAGCTGGACACAGCTCTACAGGTGGAGTCTCACCAGAGTGGGTTAGAGGGACAGAATCACCTCCCTCAACCTGCTGGGCATGCTGCTTTTAATGCAGCCCAGGACACTATTCACTTTCTGGGCTGCAAGTGCACATTGCTGGTTCATGTCCAACCCCTCATCCACCAGCACCCCCAGGTCTTTCTCAGCAGATCTGCTCTTGCTCTGTTCATCTCCCAGCCTGTATTGATACTGGGGGTTACCCTAAACCAAGTCCAGCATCTTGCACTTGGTCTTATTAAACTTCATGAGATTCCCATGGGCCCACTTCTTGAGCTTGTCCAGGTCTCTCTGGATGGCATTCTATCCTTCAGACAGCAGTTTCTGTAATGGAATGTACCATTGTGGAATGGTATTTGCTATTTGGTTCTGGCACAAAACTTATCGTCTCCAGTAAGTGTTTTCAAAATCTTATATTTTTAAAAGTTCTGTAACGGGAAAGCTTTGGAAGGAAGCCAGATGAATTTTTAAGGTATCTGGGGAGGCTCACCATAGGGACTACACTACATTATTACCAATTAAAATACCTGAAATCTCTGTCAAGCAGGACAAGAATGCTGTTTATGAGCTGAGTGTGCTGAATGCCCTCAGCTGAGAGAGGCTTTGAGCATTGGATAAAATTACTCCATTTTGTGGGATCATCCAAGTAATAAGAATTAAAATTTCAGCTTAAGAACACAGTGACATTATTTATAAATCATATTTCTAGATACCTTTAAAGGAAACCACAGAGGAGTTTCATTAAGAAAACTTTTGACAGCTAATCTATAAAAACATCTATTTTGAACTTAAATATTTAATAACTCATTGATTACAAACCTAAAACCAGAATTTTATTTGTACAATGTTTTGCAGTCCCATTGCATTGTTACAAGAGAGAAAAGACAGATTTTAGCTTAAGAAATATATGTTCATGCTTATATACTATTTGAAAAAGTAAAACCTATATACCTCGTAAAACCTGCCTCCGAAAATTGTTTAACAAGGTAAACAGCAACATTTTTGAATGTTTAACTAAACCTAAAATGACAGTGAAGTTTAAAGTTCATTACTGTAAAATTCTTCAGAAAGAATCAGATAATTTGCCCAGAAAAGCCAGTGTAAACTGTCTTATTGACTTCAATGACTTTACAGATCAGCCTGAAATTACATCAAAACCTACAGCCAATTCTACAAGTTTTCATCCTTTTTTTTCCAGAAATGTACCTACAAAGATATTTTTCTCACATGTAAACGTGTATATATGCAAAACTTAATTCGTTCAGTTCTCCACTGTCATCCATTTACCTGTGTATGTACATGCACATACACAACTGGAGTTATTCAAGCAATGTACTCAGCACATTTCCTCAGTACAGTGGTATGATTTATGTGTTTTATTTAAGCTAAGCATCTAGGGTCTTTTTATGGCAAATGGAAAGATATTGGCAATTCCAGAGGTGGAAATTATTCTGTCTTAACAGAAGTCTCTAAGCAGCTGGAAGCATCTCTCTCACTTCTCTATTTAGACTTGACAATCCAGGAGAATAATGTCAAACTAGCCAATTATATTTTAGCCTGATGGAATTAATCAGGACAACTTACTAAGCTTCGAGGCTTTGCGGAGTGCAATGTCATTAGGACAAGAGCTACTTCATGGTCTTCTGAACATATATAACTCTGGAACAAATAATAATTTTAGAAATTACTTTAATTTCCATCCGTGGGAGAACTGATGCATAAAGAATATGAAATTAATTCCTAAGTTAATGTTAGAGAACCATAATATTGTTCACAATTTTACTTCTGGTACAACAGAACTCTCTCCACATCGTCATTTCACTGACAAATCTCTGAAACTAAGGAAATTCTTAATAAAAGGGTTATCCTTTTGAAGGTAGAAATGTCATCTTTGTTTTTAAACACCAAGTCTGAAATACTTCAAAAAATCACTGAGTTGTTTTAGGGGAGATACAATGTAGAAGATTGCTCTAGAATAACCAGATCATTTAAAGAAAGGTGGAAGTTTTTTGACAAAAATACATTTTTATATTAATATGCTTTCTCCCAGTGCACCACTGCACCACTCAGTCAGACCACAATGTAAACCCTGTGCATCCACTTGCTCAAATTCAGTAGCAGAGATTTACATAGGAATCTAAAGACAAAAACCGGTGTAGGGAGAGGAACACCTAAGATGCCTCTGCTGCCTTAAAAAAATAATCTTAACCAATTCTTTCTATACAATGAAAGTCAATTTTGAAAACTGTATCCAATCTTCACTTGCAGTTAAGCATAGAAAAAAATGATTGCCTGTGAGCACTGCCTATGCAGTCACTGTAGAAGCTCATGTTGAACTAAAGCAGATTCTAAAATTTACTATCCACTTAAATAATATCAAAATGTCATCTCTGTGTGGACAAAATCTGGATGATTTTGACTCTTCCTAATAACATATGGCTTAATCCAGAGAGGCAAACAAAACAGAGATTACCTACAGTTAAATTGTGGAAACAGCTCATTTTTAATTTAAAATATATTCATGTATCTTCATAGTGAGCATACAAAGCACATCACCTACAACAACCCTGGGATGGCTTAGATATGCTGTTTAGATGTAGAAATGTTATCTAGATATAGCATATTCTACTGCTTTAGTTTAGTTTTGGTTTTTCTGTTTCAGATGTGTTAATTAAATAATTTAAACTGATCTAGTATTAAAGGAATGGCATTGCCAAACTTTGGTGTTCAGGGGATTTTGCGATTCCTTTTTCCTGTCTTGATAAAGATTTTCACCTGGCAAATACATGGAATGCCTTAAAATAGAAAGGCAATAATAAATTCCTCCCCCCCCCCCGAAAAAAATCACAAAAGTAATACTGGCTTCTAAAATTTAATTAGATATAGCAGATGTTTATTAATTAGCAGTGGGGACTTATACTGGGGACATAAAACTGCAAAGATTTGAAAGGCAAGTTATCTACCTTTAATATTCTGTAGACAACATTTTCATGTACTTGTTTTTGCACAAATATTATAAAGCAATATTAAATTACTTTTACTGAATAAATGAATAAATATCTTTAAGAAAATATTACTGTTACTTAATAATTGTCAAGAGTGGAGCAGATGCAGGTGCACTGATGGCAGTACTGCTTGGAAGGTTGTGGGTATACAGGCTGTCAGGTAGCTGCCTGGAATTTTCTAATTCAGTTTCAAGAGATTAATAGCTATTAATATCTTCAACAGTATTTCAGTTTTTCAACATTTCTCAAAAGAGCATTCACATTTGTTATGGGCATTTTAACACTTGTTAATAAGGCATTTATTTTGCTGTTCTTCAGAATTTGTATTTTGTGGCTGTGTATTTATTTGCTGTACACTATTGATCTTTCAAATCTCTGTTTTTTTAATTTTCTTCCCTCCATAACCAATCCAGACAAAGGAAGCTCTCCACCAGCAAACTTGGAAATCCTGCAGAAAAAACATGAAAATCAGATAATGTATGTTTGTCTTATTGAGAAATTCTACCCAGAAGTTATTCGAGTGACATGGACTGATGAAGAAAAGGAGATAACAGAAAACGTAGTAAAAGGTGATGCTTGGCAACCCACAGAAGAGGATGAATACTCAATTGCCACCTGGTTAACTGTACCAGCAGACAACAAAGACAAGAAATATTACTGCAAATATGAGCATGAAAGCCAAAAGAATTCACTGCCATCACAAGGTATATGCAACATGTTAAAAATTTAGTTCTACGAATCATTAGAGACATCCTTTTTCTTTGCAATGAAATTAGAGAAATGAGGCTTTCCACTACTGCTTCAGAAGACATCTGTGCTCCTTGGCACAGCAATAGCTAAAATACGCAACTGGAAAAACTACCAAAATTTTCCCAGGAAAAGCAACTCAGCCTGTGCTATGCTCCCCAAGTGAGCATGCCTTTGTAACAGAAAAATAACAGTTATTGAACCTTATCAGGTGTAAACAAGCATAGCTACAAAAGGTCTGCACTGAAGCAGCTCAGTTACTTTCCAGTTTACAGAAGTTACTGTGAAAACAGTAACACCTCTCATGGCTTACAGGTTTAAGTCCCTCTGACACCCCCTGACATTAGTCATAGCTATAAAAAACTAACGAGTTAAAAATGAGGTTGCTGAGGATGTAGAACAAAATTTAAATATATTACTTACTCATAGTCCAGAAATAGTGAGATAATAACCATGTATAAGAATAAGATTTTGTGTTTAATTGTGGAAAGATTGATAATGCAAAGCAAAATCTGAAAGACAATGCAACTTCAAAGAAAAAGTAACTTATATTCAATGCAAATTGTTTAAATCATGGTAATAATGACAAAAAAAGTGATCTAAATTGGTTTAAGTAAATATTTTCTTCATACCTACCTCTGCTTAACTTACTATAAATTCACATAACTCCAATGAGTGAGAGCATAGCCATAAATAAACATTACATTTCAACCTTCAAAATATATTCTGACAAAAATAGGCTTTAAGCTTATTTTGATGGAAGATGTACTTAGAGATGCAATATGGATGTCTTTAAGCCCATATATCTATGCATAGAAACAACATAAAAAAGAATAAACACAAATTTGCTACTTCAAGAACTAAAAGGGTGTATTTTAGAGAAAAATCATCACCAAAATAGCAAATTCCCAATAGGGAAACCTTAGATCATATACTCCTCAATATTATTCTTTAGTGCTGAACAACCATTAACATACAAATTGAAGTCCCTTCCAAAGTAAATTATTCTGCATTTCTAATAACAGTAAATTGTGAAGGCAATCAGACTCCAGCTTCTTCAATAACAAGATCAGCTGGTCAAACTGACTCCAGTTTCAAGTAAAAGAGACTGCTAAGGAACAGCCTGATGGACACATTCCTGAAAGGGCAGAGACACATCTCCCAGTTATGGCAACAAATACCCAGTCACTTCTCTTCCAGCATTTCTCCTCTTCAAATTCTCTCTGAAAATGAATCCTACTTGTGAATATCTGCTCTGCAAACTGATCTTAAGCATCCTTTTTTGTTATGTAGCACTAACTTCCCATCTCCTTGTTGCTCTACTGCCCCCCTATTTCTCAATTAAAGAAAAGCCTAACTAGGGCATTTAAACTCTCTTTCCAGTAAATTCTACGAAGAATGCTCCTCAGGAAGGGGACTGCAGCGCAATTTTTAATAGAGGTAATTTAATGTATTAAAATGTGGGAAAGTGGTGCATGTCGTGCAAGAGATAGCTATTGCTACATATGCTCAGAACATCACAAAAATTATCTTTCAAAATAATGTAAATAGTGCTTTTAAGTCTGGAGTCTGCCACTTAAAAACACTTCACTGCTACTCTGAACTAACTTTTGTTTTGGGTTATAAGGGGACCTCCTATCTTTATTAGGTAGCTTTATCAGGAGTTTTATTAGGATGCTACAGATGCTGTTTGGGCTATTAGCCCGCATTAATTGCCACTTTATTAAACACCTGGAGTAGTGAAATGTTAAACACTTCAGCTGATGCTTCATCAGCCTAGCAATTGCCCAGCACTTTGGACAAATGAATTGTTTTTTTAGCTGGAATGGGGTTTTAGGAAGAATTATGAGCACCTATGTTCAAAAAATCCAACACAAAAGGATTCAAACAAATGTGGTGCTACTGGTAATAAGTGCTGGAAGCACTACAATTATGTTCTTGCCTTTGCAAGGAATAATAACCCAGCAGCATGTGTTAAGAAGCTCAGTTGGGCTTGAACTTGTTAGCAGTGAAAACCCACTCGAAGGACAGTCAGATGTTGTACTTGCCACTGGTGTCAACGTAATTGCAGCAGTAAACTGACTACATAGTCCCAGTTCTACCCATCTTTTAGGAGGTTGTACAATATTGACATTAAACAATACTTTTCTGTCTTATGTTATGATTACAGATGTTACGTTTCCAGATGTTACGCTTCCAGATCACTTAATGCACAGGACAGCATATTTAGTGTACATCATCCTTCTTCTGAAGAGCAACATGTACTATCTTATCATACTCTTCTTCATCTACAGAATGCGAACTCCAACCAAGCACCAAGGAAAGAAGGTGTAAATGCTTGTTTAAGAAAAGGTTACAAATTGATCATGGATTTACTTTGCTTACCTATATAGACTCCCCTGCTCTGTATTAGATGTAACAGCAAAAAAAAAAATCCCAAAATAATTTTCTGGCATTACTGCATAGGGCTCATTTCGCTTTATTGCTAGATTTTTTTATATCAGTCTGGTTTTCCTAATTTTTTTGAATATCAAACAAGGATAGGCAATAGCAGTAATGGATTTTAATCCAAAGTCCATGTTGCAAAATGAAGAAGGTACTCAGATTGGAAGTAGTTATGCATGCAGAAGAGTAGGGATGCAATGGTACTTTTGATATATAAAGCACAGATGGGTTTTGTCATTGCACTTAAGGTTTAATTAGGAGCATTCCCGTGCAGTAAATTCACAGATATTTTTCATTTTTATTTTCAATGATTTGTTGCCACTCTCATTTATCCAACAAATAAGGACTTAATTATTCTGAAGTGATGAGTGCTTTAAGAGACAATTAAACATAATTTTTAGAAGTGAACATAAGAGTTTTGAATGAAGAAGTCACATGAGAATAAAAGCAATTATAAGGTGCGTGCATACAGAAAATGAAGAAATCCACCAGCACTGTGACAGTCTGAAAATCTGCACATTGTGTTTTTAAAGAGAGAAGCCAATCGTAATTATCATATACATCATCTTGTTTAAAGACACCTTTTTAAATTGAGCAAAACCTCAAATCTGAAGCTTTGATAGAGAAAGTATTTTCCCAAAAGAAGAGAAATTCTCAGATGTTGGACTTTGAACTCTTAATCTCCAAGTTCCACAAATCAGTTCCTTTCAAGTTTATGCAGAAAAATAGGAATTAGACATACTGGGATAAAGCACTTGCTCAGTTTGTGTCATACGTTTGTCGATAAGTGCTTGCAGCATTTACACTCACTGCATCTTTAATGATGAGAGCAATAAAAGCTTTCCTCCAGCCGCAGTTGTGAGGTCTCTGTTTGTTCTCCAGAATTTCCACAGCCTGTATAAAGATGCCTAGAAAACCTGATTCATTTCTCTGTTCATATAAATTTCTCAGGAAATCAAAGATCCTTAAAACATTAGTTTTCTGCTTTTCAGTTAAACAGGAACACTTTTACAGATAACAATAAAAGCTAATCTGTTACATTTTTTCTGTTGCAAAACAGAAAGCTAGGCTTTGTAAAACGGAGCTAAGCCAAGCCAGGGGGAAATGTTACATACAAAAGGACTGCCTGTCTCCTAGGGCTCATGCCATCTCCATCACAAGGGAACAAAAGTATGTCAGGCTCAGTTCTAACAACCACAGCTATTTTGTTAATGGCATATCTTACAAGTTATTTTACAATCTGTATATTGAAGCCAAAACACCGAATTACTGCCTTAAATGTCATGTTACTCTTCTGTGCAAAGAAAGACGTGATTTCTAATCTTCAGTCAAACTCTGTTTGAGAAATGGCTGGGATTCCATGCTATTATTTATTAAGGTTTGGCTCTGGTCAGAGCAAAACAGAACAGCTACAAAGGCATTTTTGGGATGTGGTTACTACAGATTTCAGTAGCACCATGGATATTACCTGGATATTACATGGATCTCCCCTACCTTTATCCCTGCTAGAGAAATGCTTGATTGAATAAATGGACTAAGATCTCTCTCACTGAAATGACCCCCAAATCCACTTTTTGTGTCTCCTAAACAAAACTGAAAGATGTCATCCATGCAGTATAAGAAAACAGAGAGAAAACTGTTTTAGCTTTTTTCACATATAAAACCCTTGCCTACACGCAACCCTAAACCATGTTGAGCATAGCTATCACCTCACAGTTTCTGTTTTTTTTCTAAATGCTTGGCTGCAAGGTTTTACATCTTGCAACAGCTCACATTATTTATAGAAATGTACACTATTCATACTAAGTTTTTAATTCTCATTTATTTAGCCCAAATAAGAGGACAAGTAGATTTTTAAGGCTTCTGGGTGCTGGGGCATTTGTTTGCAGGAAGGTTTGGTTATTTAGTGGAAAAACCCCATAAACTGAACCAGTCACAACTGGCTCTGAGGAGGTGGGCTGCGATGAGAATGGTTGATTCGCTGAGGACAGTTAGACCACAGCCGTCCTGCCTTCTACCACAGTATGCTTCTAAACCATTTCCTTCCAATGCAAATTAAAAGTTACAAAAACCACAAATGCCTAAGTTATGTGTAAATATCACTGTGAAACTCACTGTTTGCTACACATGTTGGTCTAACTGCATGCTTGTGATACACAGGGACTATTCATACCACAATAACACGGGTGCTATGGGGTGTCTGCAGGACTTTCAGTCTTATCATGACTGCAAAACAGAGGTAGATGTTTTCTATTAAGTGTAAACTTCTGTTGTCGGGACTTTCAAATTGAAAGACGTGTCTTCTCAAATATAAATCTTACTACAACTGATTTTCAGTGATTTGAAGCTTCTACAAACATGAGCACTACTACAGCTGCTCTACTGCTACAGAGTTGCAGAATTAATGTACATACTACAAAAATGGTTACAGGCAATGTGGTGCTTCTAATGAAAAGAAGACAGAACAGGATCAACTTTTGCCATGAAAGTACAAAGAAGTAATTAGCACAAATGAGTTGTGTAAAGTATGAGAAATAAAAATGCAGTTTTTATATATATAGGCGTGTCATGAAGTTGTAAGATATTCAAATTCCACAGACTGAACTTGGGTATCAGGGTCTTTTTTCGGCCAGATAAGGGAAATGTGAAAGTTCTTAAAAATTAAAATCTTTTGGGGCCATGTTGTGCATGAGGTTCCTTTTCTCTTTGAGCTAAGAACAAAGGAAGATCCATCATCTTTGATGGGGTATGGCTTGCAGCCAACTGGGATAAAGGGAAAGCCCCTTTTCAGAGAAAAGAGACCTTTTTAGGCAAAAATGAATATATTAAACGTATCTGAAAAAGGGTGGGATTTTTGTAAAAATATAAAATGTATAAGTTGTACGCCCAAGGGGTCTTTTCTCCCCAAAACCTCGGTGTGAGACTAGACCCAGTGCGCTGAATAAATTTTTTCTTTTTGTTTCATAAGCTTTTGCCGTCTTTCTAAATTCAAGGGAGAAATTTTTCTCACATAAAGGGATTTGCAACATATTCTCTATCTTACTAGAAAAATTTTGTGTCCTATACAACTACTTACACATGTTTGAGACTATCAAAATCTATCAAAACAACCTACAAAGGTGATATGGAAACCTTCCATTGGATTCCTCTCACATGTAGTTGTAAATGAGAAAGATATGCATAAGGATGATCATAATCTGGCAACTACTAACTTATATTGATAGTAGGTACTAACACTAACAAATTTTAAGAGAAATTCAAATAGTAGACTATTCAGTTTGAGATTCTGAAACAGAGTACCAACATAGATCTTAGAAAGTGATGACAAAATAAGAAATCTCAGAGGAACAGTTTGAGTAATTTTTCATCTGCACCTATAGATAGTTACAGGGAAATAGATCAAATAATAATTAACAAGTTTTATCTAATTAGTCCAAATGATCGTTATAGTTTCACCATTTACTTCATTGTGTTACCAGTCTCCTGATAAGGTAAACAAGAACACACTTTCCAGTAATTACCTAGTTCCTAAGATTAACCTCAGGAACTACTGAATACATTTTGGACAAATATTTTTATACCACCTGGGAGGTGACCTTATACATGTATGTCAAGAAGGTAAATCGTTGTGACGTACTACAGCGTATGGGAGTAATTCTCTTGGTTTTCTAATTAATAAACTTTCCTAGCAGCTCCCCTAGCAAATCCCAAACTTCCCCCAGAGATTTCTTTTACAGAAGTCTGGATGAATGCAGATGAGATTCAAGATAACACATAGGGAAAATGGGAGGGGTCAAAAGGAAAGGTCACCCTCTATTCCAAACAAGCACTAGATTTCAAATTAGGAGCTTCAGCTTCCAAAGAAGATTTCATTCCTACTGCTGTAGGAGCTTTGCCATTTTTGGCAAAATAATCCTGAAAATAAATGAAGCAATTCCCAAAATGAGGAAATTATCTCTCATATACATCCAAAGCTCACTACAAAAAGATACAGGTTTCTGCTGTGACAAAGTGCTCAAAAGGCCCTGCAAACAAAGCTTAGGTGCTCACAGAGCTGTGCCCAGAAACAGCTCCTCAGGAGGCACTTCTTTGCAGAAAGGTGACCTGATGGATTAGTAACTTCAGAGAGACTTTTCCTTTCCTGGAATAGCATAACTACCAGCCATTTTGAGGCTCAAATTCTACTATAAAATTAGAGGAGAAATAAACTTTCCAGACTGATTTTGAACATGCTACTAACAGAATGATTGTTCAGCAGCCAACACTTCATATCTAGTCCCTTTACAATTAATATGAAGTCTCTAATAATTTCATATACTTTAATGTACCCATAAAGGGTGCATAAACCAACACTATTTACTTGACAGCTGCGACAGACTAACAGAAAGAAAGTACGCAAGCTGTTACTGAGGCTCAAGCAGCAGCTTGCCGAGATCTAAGCAATGCTGGTCACAGGCCCCTTGCCACCACTTGCAATATGACACCTGAATGCACATACAGTATTAACCTGGCTAAACTGTGAGGGACAACACATTAGCTTGTTCAAATCATGTGTGTGGGCAGGGAGGAAAAGAAAGAATAGAAGGAGGGAGAATCAGAAATATCATCCATTTCTACCTTCAAGTACAATCACAGATGCAGGGACAAAAGGAGAACATTTCCAAAGTGAGCATGCAGTTTTCAAAACCTTCTGAATCTTCAACTTAGACTTCTATACCCACAGCAAAAGGCTGGACCTGCTCTTAAAAATGTTAACAGCTTATGTTCTGCAGTTTCAATTTGGTTTTTTGGTGAAAGCACCCTGTTTCCACCAGCCAGCCTTATTACACCAGCTATCAAATCAGTATCATTGCTTATTTTTAACTAAAATACATTTTTTTCCTTTCGAGTCATTAGTGTGTTTTCAGTCCACAATATTCCCAGGGATCATGCCACTGCATAAGATTTCAAGAATCTCCATGCAGGAAAGACTGATAGTGCCCAGAGTCCCAGCAGCCCGCCTGGTAAGCAGGTTATTTCATTCACTATCTATATTACTGTAATCCAAGTTTTCCCCCTTCTATTTCCTGTGTCAAAAACAGACCTTAATTTGCAGTGTGCTGGTACTGCGCAGCGTTATACTCTTCATTGTCCTGATACCTCATCACCCCTGGACGGAGCTGTAAGTCCCTTACACCAAGACACTGCAAGGTTTCTTACTGTTTTACTGAGTTCTAACTCCTCTTGAAAAAGCTTCTAACATTCTATCTTGAATATGCTCCAGTTCCTAGTAGGTACAGAGCATACCTGCTCATCTTCATATAAGTTTGCAAAATAAATGGAAGCAAACTCCTCAATGCAAGGAAAAACACACAGAATGTGCACATGGGCTTACAAAGGCCATGAAAAATTACAACTGCTTTCTGCCCTGGGGCTGACTATCCTGCTTCTGCTGGCCTCTACTTCTTAGGCAAAAAATCCACTTCCTTCAGAAAGCTTTGGGAAAGACCAGTGCTGAGCTCTGACACACTCCTTCAGTCAAGCTTAAGGGCAAAGCACCAGTCAGACAGCACTTCCATTCTGAACATGCTTTCCAATTCAAAGTTCTGGAAAGAATAAAAATCCCTCTTACAGCAAAGGGTCTTCTCTTTGCAGGAGGGGCAGGGGCAGTGAGCTCAGCTCACTGTTGCCTTGACTTGCAGGTGGTCATAAAATGCATCCTGGGATCACATCTTGGATGTGATCCAAGCTCGTGAGTGACTGGTGTCAGTGGGAGAGCCCAGGGCATGACGGGCGGGGATAAGCTGAGGACTGGCAGGGTGGAAGCTGGAACACTGAGGGGGGAGTAGTTGTGGGGTCACC